CGGCACCTTGCAGACCTTCATGGCGCGGTGGCGGGTCTTTTGTCCCAAGGGTGGTTGTTCCAGTACCCTACCCGGAGAGGTTCAGAGGGTTTTATTCCAAGCTGTTTACTTTTCCAAAGAAGGATGGGGTTCGTCCCATCCTGGACCTCAAGCGGTTCAACACCTTTGTGCGTGTTCGCAGGTTCCGGGTGGAATCGATTCGCTCTGTGGTGGCGCGTCTCCATTAGACATCAAGGATGCCTACTTTCACATTCCCATCTGTGCCTCCCACCAACGCTACCTTCGTTTTGCGTTGGGGGACGACCATTACGAGTTTGTCGCTCTGCCCTTCAGTCTTGCGTCGGCGCCTCGGGTGTTCACCAAGGTGTTGGCCCCGATTCTGGCCCTGTTGCGTTGTCGGGGGATCTCGGTTGTGGGGTACCTGGACGACCTCCTGCTGTAGGCGGAGTTGCATTCCTCTCTGGTGGCGGATCTGGCGGTCACCGTTCGGTCGTTGGAGGAGTTTGGCTGGCTCTTGCAATATTGCCTGGTGCCGTCCACTCGGTTGGAGTATCTGGGGTTGATTCTGGACTCCGCCTCGGCGCGGGTTTTCTTGCCCCTGGAGAAGCTTCTAAAGCTTCGATCGCACGCGTCGCTGTTGCGGGCGCGTCAATGGTGGGCGATCCGCTTCTGCATTCACGTCGCCGTTGCTGGTCCGACATCGGGACAAGGTGGTTCTGCGGCCTCGGCAGTACTTTTTGCAGAAGGTAGTTTCGGCTTTCCGTCATAATTAGGAAACTGTCTTACCTTCCTTGTGTCCATAGCATGTTCACAGGAAGGGGAAGGCGCTGCACTGTCTGGACGTGGTCCGCGCCGTCCGTGTCTATCTGAGTGCTACGGCTTCCTTTCGGGAATCAGATTCCCTATTTGTCGTTGCAGATGGCCCTCGGAAGGGTCGGGCTGCCTCGTCGGCCACTATCTCTCGATGGATTCGCAACACGGTCTCTCAGGCGTATGCTGTTAATGGGGGGGTGAGCCTCCTTTTTCTGTTAGGGCCCATTCTACAAGGGCTGTTGGGGCATCTTGAGCTTTTCGTCATGGTGCCTCAGTTTCTCAGGTTTGTAAGGCCGCGACTTGGCCTTCTGTTCACACCTTTGCCAAGTTCTACAAGGTGGATGTTGTGGCGTTTGCGGATGCTGGTTTGGGGTGCAAAGTGTTGCAGGCAGCCATTTGAGGGGATAGTTTGTTCTGTTGGGTTTGTTGTTTCTTTCAGCCCACCCCTCTTGGTACTGCTCTGTGACATCCCTATTTTACTCACCGTAAAATCTTTTTATCTTCGTTCATTGAAGGACACAGGTCCCGCCCCTCTATGGGGGTGTGTACTCCTAACTGCTTGTTACTTACTGGAGCAAGTGGGGGGTTTGGCCACCAGCAGGGGCCGCCCATAGGCTGTAATTGGTCTTTAGTTTTGTGCCTAGCGTCCTTCTCCTGCAGGTGGCGATATTACACAACAGTACATGATCCTAGATCTGTTCCCTGTGTCCTTCAATGAACGGAGAGAAAAGGATTTTACGGTGAGTAACAAAACCCTATTTTCTCAGTATATGATGTTATTCTGTATGTATGGGCACTGCATAGAAGAACTTCTCTTGTTCTGTATGTTGGGTGTAATTCTCAGTATCTGATCTTATTCTGTATGTACGGACACTGAACAGAAAGACTTCTCTTGTTCTGTTTGATGGACTAATGTCTTTATTCAACCTCAAATACTATGTAACTATGTATGTTGGGTGTAATTCTCAGTATCTGATCTTATTCTGTATGTATGGACACTGAACAGAAAGACTTCTCTTGTTCTGTATGTTGGGTGTATTTCTCAGTATATGATGTTATTCTGTATGTATGGACACTGCATAGAAGAACTTCTCTTGTTCTGTATGTTGGGTGTAATTCTCAGTATCTGATCTTATTCTGTATGTATGGACACTGCATAGCAGCACTTCTCTTGTTCCGTTTGTTGGGTGTATTTCTCAGTATCTGATCTTATTCTGTATGTATGGACACTGAACAGAAAGACTTCTCTTGTTCTGTTAGTTGGATGTAATTCTCAGTATCTGATCTTATTCTGTATGTATGGGCACTGCATAGAAGAACGTCTCTTGTTCTGTATGTTGGGTGTATTTCTCATTATCTGATCTTATTCTGTATGTATGGGCACTGCATAGCAGCACTTCTCTTGTTCCTAATGTTGGGTGTATTTCTCAGTATCTGATCTTATTCTTTATGTATGGGCACTGCATAGCAGCACTTCACTTCTCTTGTTCTGTGTGTTGGGTGTATTTCTCAGTTTCTGATCTTATCTACATACAGAATAAGGACAAATACCTAGAGTTACACCAAGCATACAAAAACAAAGGGGGGTGCTACTATGTGTCATATATACATACAGACTGAGAACAGATACTAAGATTTACACCAAGCATACAGAACAAGAGACGTAGTATAGACATTGTCTATACAAACAAAATAAAAACAGATGCTGACAATTAGAGTTGAGCTGGAAATTCGAATGATAGATTGAGACCAAATTTCATGAATTCAGATGTCTCGAAGTGCATTCCAAGTGGTCTTATTTTTGACACTTCTGTTTCCCAAGAGGCTAGTAGGAGAAAGGGGCCAAAGGTTGCTCCAAAGGCTGGTTTTTCCATATATTTGCTTCTGATGTTGCCAGGGCACCCTTAGCTTAATCCGTGCCACCAGGTACCGCCCTTTTGTCTTAGTATACCTGGCGGCTCAGACTGTTTATTGGTCCCATTATCTTGTTAGGAAAGGCTTCCGGGAACTTCGCAAATCATTCTGGACAACTTTTAATAATAACAGCTCTATAATACACACTTTTTTTGGAGTGCAAATTCCCATTGAAAGCTCATGAGGCTTCAGATTTGGAAATTCAGAATTTCCCAGGTTTGTGAATTTAGTTTTTTTTAAATCTTGGCTAAACCACAGCCGATCAAACTTTGCAGAAATTCACTCATCTCTACCAAGTGTACAGCACCCTGGCCTCTTATAAAACTATAAAACTCCTCTGTAGCACAATGGCAGGGCATTGTCTCTCCATGGCACAAGATAGGAGGAAAAGCAAGAGAGTCTGCAAAAGCCTCTATCTCACAATGACCTACTTGCTACCAATGCTCTGAAATTGAAGTGACAAACAAATACTATTATATTAAAAAAAGAAGTGCATCCATCCATTATTTTTATACACCCCCCCCCCTCCACACATAATATACTTATTAACTTAAGCACAACACAACCGACTGGAGATTTTCACTGTGCAGCCTGTCTGGTGCTGCACAACCTCTAGATGCAATCTTCTGAGTTGTACAGGCACATGTCCTTTTTAGGCTGCCACTTCTCTTGAAGTGAATGGAGACTGCTAGTACAGAAGAACATTCCATGCAGGGGGCCATGCAGCTCAATCCCTAGACAGTGGATAGATATAAATACATTTGTCCACAAATGTCACAAAATGTTTAGAAAGAGCAGACAAACCTGGTTATTTTGGTCCTAAAGTTACTATAAGAGGCTTAGTACATTAGACCAGTGAGCATGGGAGGGGGAAATGAACTAGTCAGGGTTAAGAAAGCAGCCTTTGAAGATAGACATTTATTGCTCTGTCTAAGCAGCAAGTCTGATGAGATTATCTTCCAAATACTCCTTTTCTAATCCAGCACTGCCTATGCCCTTTCATAAAGCCATGCAAGGCACAAGCAGTAAATTTTAAGCAATACACCACCTCTCCGACTCTATTTCTCACATGCAGGGAGACTGTAGGTGCTGCCACTTAACATTTACAGCACTGCCTGTGAGATATGGAGCTTCTCTTTTTCCTTGTATGAAGGATTGACAGTCACTGTTCATATCCCCGGTTCTGCTGCCAGATCTCAGGAGATTTAAAAGACCAGTCAGAAGACAGGGACCAAAAAAATTAATCAGGGTAAGTTGATAGCGCTGCACACTTTCACCACTGACCACTACTGCATCCACACACATTAGTGACTTACCCTGCAGATTGGACTTCACTGGTTGGATCTCCTCTTTCGATGTACTACCAAATCAGCCAAATTGTTGAGTATGCAGTGCAACTGCACGGTTTAGTCTTTCTTCCTATTTCTGTTTCCTAACTCTTCCGATGTCCATCAAGAATATTACTGTATAAAACTGCTACAGCTGACCTGACCTGCTTAGACTTCTTCCTGAGCTTTGATTGAACTGTAAAAACCCCAAGATCCAGCAGATATTTCTAACTATGTCTGACTGTTGTGTGATGCTCTTCAGTTTTGGGCCTCATAAATGCAATCATATGTCACAATGTATTGGTGACTATGTATCCTCAAAAAAACTAGGAGGACTTGGGATCCATCAATGACTCTGGTATGTCAGAGATTGCTGATCTCAGCTATTAGTCTTCAGTTAAATGCTCTCCCACAAAATCTGAAGCATGGGTTGCTTACATAGTTACATAGTTAGTCAGGTTGAAAAAAGACACATGTCCATCGAGTTCAACCTATAGAGATACCGGCATTTTGTTCCCATGCAGATCTCCAGGCTGAGGGTGCACTCACTTACCGGTATGGTAATAAACCTGCCAGATAACATAACAAAGAACTTATAGGTTTTGAGATTTATTTGACCACATACACCTTATGAGCATTCATAGGCAAATTTATCTTTTCAGAAAACTGAGAACAATATGTTGCATTGAATTTCTGGAATATGAATATACAAAAAGCAGGTATCTTTTGTGTATTAAAAGATATTATAAATCTAGAAAATGAGTCCATACAACACAAAACTATCTTTAAATAAATAATTTGAAATGATTTATAAACCTGAAAAACATTCATTGTCTAAGGAATTCTAAAAACTTGCAAGTATAAAAATATATTATTGAAGGAAAAAGAAAATATATAAAAAGAAAAGCTTTTCCTGTATAGGCTGCCACCTTACTAAATCTGGTAAGATAAATTCTATGAAGTCCTTTAAAAAGTAAGTAAAAAACACGTGGTGATCAGTTATTAACTTTGAAGTATAAAAATGTCTATACACGGTGGTTTATTTCTCTTTGTTGTCTTCTGCCTTATCTGTTTCTGGGGCACTCTCGGGCCCTTCAGACATGCAGTCATTGTTGTATTTCTTTACTTGTGTTTCAATTTTAGTGATCCTTTGCTTCAGTTTTAATTGTGTGGAGTTGTAGTCAGCTAATAATCTGGCAAATCGAGTCTGCAAGCTATCAAATGCTGTTTCCATCTTCTCAATCTTTTCATCTAGGTCCTTCGCGTCTGCTCCTGCCTTTGCTGCTTCTTCATCTATAAGGCCATCTTTCATAAGGATTTGTTGTCCTTTTTCCTCTAAAGCTGTTTTAGCATCTGGGTACTCAGTGAGGGCCTCCATTAAATCATCCTTAGATAAACAGAATAAATCAGAATAACCAATGCTTCTGATGTTTGCTGTCCTTCTGTTCCCGGTTTTGCTCCCTTTGATGTTGAGGATGCTAATTTCTCCAAAATAACTGCCATCGCTGAGTACCACAAACTGAGTTATACCATCATCTGCTACAACTGCCAGTTTACCTTCTTTAATGATGTACATTTCACGTCCAATGTCCCCTTTTCTACAAATATAGTCTCCGGGACTAAACACCTGAGGCCTCAGCTTTAGGACTAATTCCACCAACAGTCCTGCTTCACAGTCCTGAAAGATTCTCACCTTCTTCAAAGTATCTAAATGAACATTGATTGCAATTTCAGCTTTTAACTTGTCTGGAAGGCTCTTTAGGACCTCTTTTTCATCCATTGTTTTCTTATTTGTCCAGAGATAATCAAACCACTTGATCACCCTTGCTTCTAGATCTTTAGATACATTACGGAATTGCATATATTGCTTGATAGAGTCAATCTTAGACTGAAACTCTGCCCTGGATGCATTCATATTTGAAATCATAGAGCCTACATTACCGACAATTGTTGCAAATATCAACACGCCAATTAGAAAATCAAACACTACAAAGAGGAATTCTATATCTTTCACTGGTGGTGGTGTCTCTCCAATAGTGGTAAGAGTCAGGGTTGACCAGTAAAGACAATAAATGTATTTTCTTGCCATACGTCCATATTCTGGGTGAGAAATATTAGGATAGACCCAAGTGTCTGTTCCAAAACCAATGGCTTTAGATATTGCAAAGTAGATGCAGGCATTCCAGTGTATAATAATAAGAATGTAGAGGACAAGATTCCCTATGCGAAAAATATTTGGATAATTGGTCCTGGTTTCGGTACGGTCAAAATACTCAAACATCCTGGAAAACCTCAGAAGACGGTTAAACCGTAGCTCTGGGAAATTGATCCCCAGCTTTAAGTAGCCAAGATCTGTTGGCACCAGTGACAACATATCAAGCTTAAACTGCAAGGTCTTTCTGTAGTATTCTCTTAACTTCTTGGCATCTTTCACAAGCAAGCCTTGCTCAAGGAAACCTAAGAACATAAGAATAAAAGTAGAAATAGAACATTAATTTCTTCCTCCTTTTGAGTTATATTCTGGATAATATGAACTTGTGAGTTGGAGTTGAAAAATATTGTAATGCCTATTTTGCAACCTGTGAATTAGAAAAATGACAGTAGTAGATTACAACTGCCCCTACCAACAGTCCCAGATCAAGTCAAGGGTTTGGTGACTGAGTAGAGATATTTACTTTAAAGTGTCAGTTGAGAGGACCTAACAGAGTGAATTAAAATATTAGTATTATAGAATGGAGGTGGGGCCAAAATTACCCCAGGAAATCACCTCACAAGTGTTGTCCAATTTGCCTGTGTACTGTAGGAAAAGCTTAAGCTTTGAGGACATAAAAAACAAAAAACAAGATAAAGGGACTTTCTTCATTGTTCAAGAGCAAATATTGAATATATACTGCAGTGTAGCAGTCCTTAGATGTTGTGGCTGCATTCATTTTTTTCAAGCTGTTTTTTTTTGTTATTTTCACCTGGGTTTCCTGCCAGTCACTCACTTTCTGTTCTAGAGTGACCACACTCACTCAACATACTGTAAGGAAAGAATGAAGTGTTGTCACCCTGGGGCAGAATTAAAGACATCTCTCTCTCTCTTCTTTTCTCCATAACATAAAAGGGAGAGGTACTGTAGTCCTTAGAGATAATTGGGAACAATGTTACTGATAAGACTGCAGCACAGACAGGGAGCACAGGAAGTTGTTGGCTGGCAAGATCAGCAGGTTTTTTTCTTTCACTTTGAAACAAATATAACAAAACACTTCAAATCGTACATTTCACGAACCAAAAAGGAAAACAATAAGATCAATGGAGGGTTTAAATACACAACATGTTGCCACAAAATACAAATACTTCACAGTGTAATGGAACACACTTATAATGAAGATGTTTCTCAAAGCAATCAATCTGATGCTTGGTTCACTTTTCTCTGCAACCCCGAGTCTGGCTCGGGGTTACCGCTCCTAGCATTGAAAATTAATCCCGAGCCAGACTCGGGATTACCGCCAGGGAGGTTAAATCCAATTCAATATTTTCATGACATTTCTAGTTTATGACACAGCTTTTTGTTACCAGATATTTTTTTTTTTATATCTATAGGTTTATTTTTATAATTTCATGTTGATTTTAAAGGAGAACTATGAGGTGAGTGATTTTCACTCATCCTCATAGTTCTAGCCGACCTGTGACAATAAAACTGTCACAGGTCGGCTCAGTAGATCGGGAAGTGAGCGAACACATACCGGCGTTCGCTCACTTCTCGATCCTGTCACGGCTCTCTGCCGTGACAGGGGAGGGGCTGGATTCCCCCTCCCCGCTCTGACCCGCCAGCGCTGACTGGCGGAACGGACGGGGTAGGGGGCGGGTACAGCTGGCTCTGCCTATAGATAGGCAGAGCCAGCGGGCAATCACGCAGGTGGGTGGATCCAGACATAGTTGCCGGGATCCGTTTCAGCTGTGGCATCTCAGTATACCGCGAGCTGTAGCTCACGGTATACTGAGCTTAGGGTGACGGGAGGACGCTAGTTTGTGTTCTCCCGTTACCCTTAGGAGAAATATGGGGAAAAGCCCTAACCCCATAGTTCTCCTTTAAATTTCAAGGTACTATACCATGGGTCAGTCATCTAACCCTCAAACATGACATGACCACTCCTCACCTGTTCTGAATCTCACTAATGTGTCTGTAATGTACACAAGATCCGCAGTATAGTCCAGAACCAGCCACAAGATCACGTGGTTTCTCTGCAGTTCATTAAAGCAAGCCCTGCAAAATATTAAAAAGAAATTAAAATCCAATGCTAACTCAGATCTGTGTTTTAATGTATATACCAAGACTATGTTTACCTGCACACTAGAAAGCACCAGTTATAAAGCACAGGTATTGAGATGATGGATAGCCATCGGTAGTAGAAGTTGCTTGCTGGGTCAATCACAAATATTTCCTTCTTTTTCCTTTGAATAAAAAAATATATGAATAATTGTAATATCTGTTTTTATATTTTCCCTATCCTTTCTATTGAATAATTAAAAACCTTTCTTATTATGCATTATACCTGTTGATCCTGTCAGTTCGCAGAGCGTATCTCAAGATTTGTTTTTTGGCCAACAAAGCTGTATTGTCAAAAAGCTCAAAGTAGCAGCTTTTTTGTGTTACAATCAGACCCACAAGCACCAACAATATTCTTGGTATTTTGGAGGTAATGGCGCTACAGCATTATGTTACGGTACTTCTGCAGGAGAAAATGTTTGACCTGCTCTTTTATGACTGTTGGTGAGACTGATATAGATGTCATCAGCAGCCATGGCGAATATACATTTTATGCATTTTTACAATAAAAGTGCAGACAGTAGTCACAAGATCTCTAGATCACAGCTGAACAACAATTTGTGTTATATACTGTACATTGTTCATTCTTTTTAAAGATATATATAAAAAAACCTAGGAGACGTGTGAAATTAAATCTAAATGTAACCATGTGATTACTAATTGCTGTGTGTATAAGGTGATTTCATGTGTCTTTGTTATAAGCATCTGAATTAGCGTCCTCCCGTTACCCTAAGCTCAGTATACCGCGAGCTCCAGCTCGCGATATACTGAGATGCAGCAGTATACCGCGAGCTACAGCTCGCAGTATACTGAGATGCCGCAGCTGAAGCGGATCCCGACAATTATGTCTGGATCCGCCCAGCTACGTGACTGACAGCTGGCTCTGCCTATCCCCCGTCCGCCAGTCAGCGCTGGAGGATCGGAGCGGGGAATCCAGCCACTCCCCTTTCACAGCTCTCTGCCGTGACAGGGGAGAGGCTGGTTTCTCCCAGTTCCGATCGAGAAGTGAGCGAATGCCGGTATGTGTTTGCTCACTTCCCCATCTACTGAGCCGACCTGTGACAGTCTCATTGTCACAGGTCGGCTAGAACTATGAGGTGAGTGAAAAGCACTCACCTCATAGTTCTCCTTTAAAGAAAAAGTCTCACCTTTTTAAAATATCTCTTGTCCACCAGGGGATGAGCTACATGTAGTACTTGCTGCGCATTTGGACAGGGCTCCCCCTCCCCGTATGGCTATCCAAACACACAGCTAGCAAGGAGATGAATAATAAATGAACTTTGAATGATGGTGCTTGTGTTTGGCTCCAAGCGCCTGTCCAAGACAAGCATGTTACTAGGAATACAGGGGGAGGGGTACATGTTGCTAAGTTATTCTCGGCTTATACACAGCAGAGTACAGAACAGCTCATGGCCTCTGCTTCTTTTACTATACTCCTCTGCCCTGTACTCTGGAAGGAAGACTGAGTCCAGATCCGCCTTCCAGCCACCAGCTATTTTGGGGAGAGAGACTAGAGAGAGACTGGTATGTGTTGTTCCAATGCATCGTCATTTACAAGAACACAAGCCAACAGCTAACACTCTAGTTTAGTCCCCAGAAAATCTGGTGGCTGGTGGATGAGTCCAGGCTCAATCTATCTTCTGGTGTACGAGACAGAGGGGTAGAGCAGAAGAGGCACTGGTCTGAAAGATTAGATTGACGAGCTGCAGAATGAAGAGGGTGAGGTGGCTACAGCGCCGGCTGTAGCTCCTGCCATATGAATGCCTATAAATTAGTCTTCATCTTGGGGTGGAGCTACAGGACAGACAGAAAATAAATATCCAAGCTAGTGAACAGATCTGAACATGGCCAAGCGCTATGTGCACTGGTGCCCCTGTTGATAATTCTTTGAAACGCTTAATCTACCATTACAGAACACTATCTCTAAATCAATAAAGTTGTCGATAAACCCGCTCCACAGCAATTCAGTTTCAAAATACACCTCAGTTACAGTTATGTGGTCTTAACCTGATCTTGTCTAAACTATACTGTATATATCCAGGTGGGATACTTCAATAAGCTTAAAACATACAAACATTGCTGGTTTATTTTAGATTTGATTATTTGTTTTTTTTAAATAATTTCAATAGACACAGGACAGAACATGAATATATTATTGGTCTTTTGTTGCCTCCTATTCATTGGAACAATGGTAACAAGTGTATAATATTTATACCGGGGCCATGCCCACAACAGCAATGCATCTACGCACACAATGTGATAAAAATGGACCTTTCATTTAAAAATAGACATTTAGGGGTCTATTCACTAAGCTGCCGCAGGCAGCCGAGTGAATAAACGACCCGAAGTGAACGCTGTTCGGCTATTCACTTCAGGCTTGTATGGCTGATTTCAGCCGTGTATCGGCTGAAATCAGCCGTACATCGGCTTGCTTCGTGCGGCTTCGGGTCGGCCGAACATGCACAGCATGTTCGGCCGAACGGAAGTGCAGAAGGAGTTCGACTCAGCCGATCCAACATCTGGATCGCCTAAGCTGAACCTCCGCAGGCTACTCGCTGCTGTTCGGCCTATTCTCATAGATGCCAAACAGCAGTGAGTGAATAGCCGAATGCCGCCGAGCGGCATTTGGCTCGGCTGTTCTGCTCGGTACCTCTGTGGTACCGAACAGGATAGAAAAACAGTTAAAAAAGTAGTAAAAAATAAAATAGAAAACGATTGGGTGGAGCTAGCAGTGACAGCTAGCTCCGCCCAACTGTTTTCTATTGGCCTGGCGGTTCTGAAAAAAAATCTCCATAGGAATGCTTAGCTAGATTCCTATTGGCTATTTCACTTTGCAATAGCCAATAGCAAACTAGCTATTGCACCCGCCCTCTGCTGCTGTCAATCACTAGAGGGGGCCTAATGGAGAACTTCAGGTCCCCTCAGCTGATTGACAGCAGCAGTGGGCGGGTGCAATAGCTAGTTTGCTATTGGCTATTGCAAAGTAAAATAGCCAATAAGAATCGAGCTGTGCATTCCTATGATGATTTTTTTTCTTTTTTTTTATTCTGACGGCAGCCAATGGCTCCGATGTCAGAAGAAGAAAAAAAAACAGCAGGGAAAGGTTTACTCTGCTCGATCGAGCAGAGTAAACTCTAAACCTTTGTATAGAGTGGTTAGAAACTCTCTCAGGTTTTTTATTGCAGTTTGTGTCTCTAAGTGCTTTGGTCACCAATATCACAGATAGGGATGCACTGATAGCGAGTTTTTGGGCGAGTACTCGCCCAAATGCTCCTGAAACTTATCCCGATACCGGAACTTCCTGTATCAGGAAGCTGGGTGGCGAGTCATTACCCACTCCCCGCCTTCCCGATTGGCCAGAAAGCCGGCTCAATGCTGCTTCGTCACCTGGTGATGAGGAAGCAGGGATCCGGCTTCCCGGCCAATCAGGAAGTCAGGCAGTGAGTCATTAAACGCTGCCCAGCTACTCAGGAAGCCGGGCTCCAAGTACCGTAATTGCACTTCGCCCAGCCTTCTAAATGGGACTTCCGTTATCGGTATTCGGTATCAGCGATTACTGGGAAAAAATATCTGTACTCGTACGCGATACCGAAAAAACGGTATTGGTGTATCCCCAATCACAGAGAATGAAAATGGTAAATCCAAAATTCGTAGTTGCTACCTTAAAAAAAAAAATAGAGGGCAAATCTTCTGATGGGGGCACTTGCTTTTGAGAATATTAAGCAAGGATTTCCCTCACATTGGGAAATATCCCTTCACTTTTTGTTAAATCTTCAGGGCAGGAAGTGAATGTAAGTCTCCCTAACACCGATGGCAATACAACTGACAATGGTGTTAACCCTCTTCTACCTTATCCAAAATTAAAACAAGTTATGGTTTTAGCTGCCTGGCACCAATATGTATTAGAGGGTCACAAGAACATTAAATCACCATGTATCATCCTTTAGTAAATCAGGTCTAATTTGTCACACATTTCAAAGTAAGTGCAATCTCTGGAAGGAAAAGCTGTCATCCACATCAATTCTAAACTAGGAATGACGACAGTACTTACTCTTCTTCTTTTTTATCGTCCTTTTTTGCGTCTTTTTTGTCCTCTTGTTTTTGCTCTTTTTTCTCGTTGGCATTATTCTGTTCTTTCTTTGTGCTGTTAATGCATTCGATTTTTACAGGCAAAATGGAAAGAGGCTTTTTAATAGGAAGGAACAACATGAGCTAGCTACCTATTTTTAACTACGTATGTTTTGTGACCATTTTCCTTAAGATATTATGTTCATTTAACATTCCATAAACATTTTATATATTCACTTTCTATCAAATAAAAATGCCCTCTTGTCTTCCTGAAGCCACAATCTACCCAACTGCGCTCACATAATGATGTAGTAATACTTTAAGTCCAGGCTGCCCTAACAGCCTGGGCTCAGAGGAAGTGAATTGAATTACGCTGCCATCATTCAACCTGACATCTAGCTGAGCATTGCAGAAAAAGCAGTTTTTTTCTTTCCTATTGCCCTATTTTTCCTACTAAGCTATTCATTTTAGCTTGAGTTCAGCTTTAATCTTCAGCTTACCAAAAGCTCTTTAGAAAACACTGTCAGATAAAACATTGAGTTATGCTATTCAGTGCAAAACAGGGTTCAGTAATGTAATGATATACCTTAAATGGGACTTGTCTGTGACGATTCTCATTTATCCAGGTCTTGGTATATGTAAAAGATAAATCAAGGCAACTGGACTTGCTGTATTTTTCTCGAAGATGTTTTGCTGGTCATCCAACTTGCTTTCTCAGTTCAGAATTTCTCATTCTCAATTGAGAAAGCTAGTCAGATGACCAGCAAAACATCAAGAAAAATAAAGCAAGTCCAGTTGCCTTGATTTATTTTTACAGATATTAAATGGGGCTTCTTATCATTGTTCCTGGCAGCCAAAGGCAGTCAATGCAGAGTGAATGAAAGGTAAATATGTGCATCTGGTGGGGTTTGATTTAAAGTGTATACAAAAATGTAATATATTGCAGCTTACCAGTCCTTAGATGTGGTGGCTGCATTCATTTTGTGACCTTCATTTTGACCTGGTGATCTTGCTAATAACACACTTCCTGTTGTGGTTACATTCTCTCATCCACTATATCAATGGAAGGAGCCATGGTTGTCACACAGGCTGACTTTAAAATGCCTGCCTTTGCTCATCTCTATTACATAGGTGTTGATAGGATTATTCGTTTCTAAAATAAAGATAACATTGTTTTTGTTGTCTGTGCAGCTCACAGGAAGTAAAAAGGACACTGCATTTCTACCAAGATCAATGTGTATTTTGTGCACTTGCTGAAAATGTTCTGAGCCTGAAAAATTAAAATGAATGCAGCCACCACATCTAAGGACTGGAAAGTTGCAATACATTACAATTTGTGTCCTGGGTTTAGTTATTCTTTAAAGGTAAAGTCCTTTTTTTGATAAAAACAATAAATGCATACTTCTTCATAAAAGAAAAAGTGTGCATTTATTTTTCTTTGCATTGGAGCAATCAAAGCATTGAAACCACAGTCAGTAAATCGCGGGTGCAATGCTCTTCTGCAGACACTTCCTCCAGTGTCCATGACTATACCTCGGTACACGTTACATCCTGAATATGGGAGTTGCATGAAACATGGTCCACAAGGTGAACTTAGCTTTTAACCTTACATTTGAAAGATATTTGTCATGGCCATAAGAGGAAACCTCCCCCCTAGTATGAGATAAAGACCTGGCGGATGATTATTCCCTTTCTCACGTCACCGAAAGCTAACAAAAATGTTCAGAGTTCTACTTTCAAAATGTCATTACTATTTCTCAAACCTGTTATAGGTAAGAATTCCTCTGATCCCATGAATTATTCTCTATTCTGGCTTTGCTATTACTTCAAATGGGGGGACAATGGGGTTGATTTACTCAGGGACTAGAGGCTGTCCACTTAGTAAATATTCACTTTGCAAAGTAAAAATTAACTGAGCTTAGTAGATAAGGTGAAGCTGTGTTCACTTCAATCAACCAATCATATCCTAGCAAAAATCCTGTTTTATTTATTTCCTTCACACATGATTGCAGAAAACAGTAGGTCCCCCTGCACTCCTTACAGCGCTTCTGGTCCAAGTGAAAATAGTGGTGCTCGCAGTGACAATCACGGATGGCGCTGTGTACAACAGTCAATGAAGGATAGAAATCACCAGCACTCCGTAAATTAAATTAAAAAAAGTCAATTTATTTGGACTAAACGTCACACATATCGCATAATCCAACGTTTCGGGACCATGCAGGGTCCCTTCATCAGAGCAGAGATGTGACCTCACATCACATCTCTGCCCTGATGAAGGGACCCTGTGTGGTCCCGAAATGTTGGATTATGCGATATGTGTGACGTTTAGTCCAAATAAATGGACTTTTTTTGAATTTCATTTACGGAATACCGGTGATTTCTATCCTTCAAACATGATTGGACATTCAAAGTGAACACTGGTTCGCCTTATTTAAAGAAGAACTCCAGAAAAAGTTTTCCTTAACCCTTGCAGTGGGGCTACCCCCGGACTGCAAGGGTTAACTGCTAATTTTTTCTAGGTTAAAAAAAATTATACTAACCTGATGCTCTGAGCCGGCTTGCTCTTAGACTAGTCCCTAGAGCCTCTCTCCCCCTCCTCTGCAGCGCTCTAAGGTCCTGTAAATCATCAAGTCTACTGTATACACTGTGTTTAGTTGAGGAAGATTCTAATTTTGCAATTGATTTTTGAATCTAGACAAAATCGAACACTTGTGGGAATACCCCTGCACTGCAAGGGTTAAGAAAAAGTTTTCCTGACTTTGCTTTTTAACTACTTGAAGACTGGGGTGTTAAACCCCCTTCCTGTCCAGGCCATTTTTCAGTATTCAGCACTGTACCGAAATACATTTTATGTCATTTATTTGGGGACACATGGAGCTTTCTTTTGGTGGTATTTAATCACCACTGGGGTTTTTACTTTTTACTATGCAAAGAACAAAGCACCAAAGATTTTAAATAAAAAATAGTTTTCCCTACGTTATGTTATAAAACATGTATTATTACCCACATTTTTTGTAAAATATAAAAGACGGAGTCAGGTTGGGTAAATAGACACCAAACATGTCAAGCTTTAAAATTGTGTGCGCCTGAGAAATCGCAAAAAAATACCATACCCAAAATGTAACCGAAGACTTATAAACTTTTACTGCTCATCAATTTAGTGTCAACAGTGATTGATGGCCCTAGAATTATTGCTCGCACTCCGATGTTCACGGTGATATGTAACATGTGTGCGGTAATTGTTGTTTTCGCACGTAGGTGCACCCGATGCGTATTTATGTTTGTAGGGGCGGCGGGACTTTTGTTTTTTGTGTGTTTTTAATTTTTTTTATGTGACGCTCATTTTTTTTTACTTTTTTTTTTTTTTACACTTAACTTTATTGCTATTGCTAATAAGCCCCCTATGTAATTGCAAATATACAGTGGCAGGTCCTCTTTATGGAGACATCAGGGGTCTATACGACCCCTATTGTCACCTAGGCACCCCAGAGAAGTTTATGAAGCAGAGATCTGCTTGATCAGCTTCTTCTCTGGCTATTGCAGCCAGAGAAATGACAGGCTGCAGGCGGAAGTGATGTAATTCTTATCACTTCTGCATTCAGTGATTGGAGGGGGTAACAGCCGGTGGAAGAGTGCTGATCTCCCTCCGATCTCAGTACAGAGAGCTGCTGTGCCAGTCCCCGGCCCACACAGGGGACAGGAGAGCCCGGGATAGCCGGCAGTGGACCATACAAGCAATTGGGTGGCTGTAGAGCCACCTGAACGGTTGTATGGAACAGCCATTACCGCGCAGGAAAAAAAACCTGCCGGAAATGTACAGCGACCCGCGGAAAGGCACCTGTCGTCCGTCTGTTTATTTACAATGAGCGGGCGGCAAGTAGTTAATAACAAATGCTTTCCTAATCAGCCTTTTATAACAGACTTTCCCAAGTAAGTTCAATTTCTAAAACAGAAATTGTCGTTCATATTCATTCTAATCTAGGAATGATTGCAATACTTACTCATCTTCTTTTTTATTATCCCCTTTGGCATCTTTTTTATCCTCTTGTTTTTGCTCTTTGTTCTCGTTGGCATTATTCTGTTCTTTCTTTGTGCTGTTTAATGTATTAGAATTTTACATGCAGAGTGGAAAAAGGCTTTTCAGAAGGGAAGAACAACATGAGCTAGCTGCCTATTTTCAGCTATGTATTGTGACCATTTTTCTTCTAATATGTACATTATGATATTCCATAGTTATGCAATTAGTTCTCTTATAAATACATATATGAACAGAATAAATGTAACTAGAAATTAGATCCATCCTCAATTTATTTGAAATAATATATTTAAAAGTATTTTTCAAGCCAATACAAAAGGAAGAGGATCCATCAATTCATTGATATTCCTCTTTTTTTTCTTAATTAAAATGTAAACCTGTTATGAGACACTAGACCAAGGATGCCCATTCATTTATAGGTTTAGACTGAAAGGATTGGGACCTTGAGTGAGTCATAATATACTGTTATACAGACAACATTATTAGACAGGTATCATTTGCTCAGATTTTAGTTATTCCTGGTACCTGTTCCCCTGAGTCCGAGGAGGAGAATTAGAAGCAGATGGATCACATTTGGAAGCAAGGAGAAATAGGTAGATGTGGGGGCAGACAGCATGGAAGCTGATCAGGGAGAGGTAGAGGAGACATAGTGGGTGTTAAAAGTGGCTGGTGTGTGGAGAGGTGATTGCTTGATGATGAAGAACTGGTGGTGCTGAGAGGATGGAGAAGAGAAAGAAAAGGTAGATGACCATAAAACATTGGTAGGTGGAGCAGAGCAGAAAAAAAGAGGAGGCATAGTAAGGCTGCTCAAGTCCCACGGAGAAAAGAGGCAGTGGCAACTGATAATGGACTGGGGAGAGAGAGAGGAGCAGTAGCTGACTATGTACCATTAGAAGAGGACTTATTGGAAGAACTGGTGTTGGACATGGAAAGGCTAAGAAGAGAGGAGGCAGATAGGTGGTTGACCATGTTCATGAGGGCAAGGGGAAAGATTGTTGTGCATGCAGAGGAAAGCAGTGTGGGAGCTGATCATATACCAGTAATAGAGAAGGAGCTGATTTTGTCTGAGCAGTAGAGGGAAAAGAGGAGTTGCAGCTTATCGTGTATCATTAGGAAAGGAGGAAAGGGAGTTGACAGTAGAGTCAGGCAGAGGCTCACTGGAAGCTTATTGTGTACCAGGGATAAAGGCGCTCCTAGCTGTTTGTGGCTGGAAGGGAAAAAGGAGTGGCAGCTGATCCTGAACCTTCGAAACACCTGCTCTTACATATGAATCTATAGCATTCCATTCAAAGATCAGGTTGTTTCTGGCAACTCTTATGACCAACCTTACCATAGAACATAGACTAGATTTAAATACAAGCCTGTAATAATAACAATAAGAATAGACATAATAATAATACTACATGTATTATGGAAAAAAAGACCCTCAAGCTCCACCTGCTTGCTGGGTTTGTGAATACAAAATATTTATATGCAATTCATATTTACCTGAATAAAAAATATTTAAAAAAACGTATTTTATATTTTAGTCCTGACCATGATAAATAAATAAAGAATAAATGTATGAAATTGCTATGCATTCAGTTTAAGTAACAGGGAGGCATTTATGGAGCAACTGAAGGACACTGAAAAGCTATATTAATTTAAATAAATAAAAAGTGCAGACATAGCTGAAACTTGCCCCATTACCAGGAAAGTGGGAAGGTGAGACACTACTTTTACTGTGCAAGGATTACAATTAGGAATCTAGCTCTAACATGAACATCTCTATATACAATTGTATCACCATTTTTACAGCTAGGATTTTTCTTCTACACACATTAACTTACTCATCTGTGTTGTTGCTGTTGTTGACATTGAAACTTGCAAGAGTCCAATGGCTGGGACAACTTGAATGAAATGAATACATACAGTAAGAAAAAACAGAATACACCATGGGGGAAAGGGGCACACAATGGGAGTGAGAATGAACTAGAACATCTGAGGATGTTTTTATTGCTGTATGTACCTTCCTGTCCTGGTGACCTTGTTCTTTCCAGGGATATCAGGGACAGAAAGTGAGGGAAGATCTTCCCAATGTGTCACAGACAGAGATAAAAACCTAACAGAAATTTTAACTTTACCTAGAATATCCAAACTTAATAAAGAAAATATTGCCTGCTAGACTTTTATAACTTGTCTGAGTTAAGAAGACCTCCAGTTTTTTTTAAATTATTTTAAAATACATTGCCATTGCCTGCAGTTTTTATAATAAAAAATACTCACCATCTTTACAGTGCTGACCCCCTGACATTGATATATACTCTGAAGTTACAGTATGTTAACATGCCACCATGGGCTTACTGGAGAAATGCACCGAGAATGAACCGCACACTGCCAAAGTCATAGCAGAAGTTGGCTGATGGTTACATCAAACATTTATCTTGTTGACTTATCTCTTTATAATTGAACCAGTAGATACATTGCCTTTTTACACTGATGTTCACTTACCAATTCATAATACATCATCACAATGTCGCCCTGATGAAGGGACCCTGCGCGGCCCCCGAAACGTTGGCTTCTTGACACATGTGACATATCAATAAAAGTGCTATGCTTTTGCACATTACAAGTGAATGCTGGTGACTATCTGTACTTGGAATATCAGACACCATACATGCTGTGAAAAAGTCCTTTATAGACAAAACGCATTGCCTTTCTTTGAAGGCATCTAGCCTGCTTGATAGACCTGACCGGATCGAGATCTGCATGACAAGGAGCTCCAAAACAATCGTACAGATATTATATGTGCGGAATGATTTGAGCAAGCATTTTAGGTGAAGGACTTACATTTCATCATAAACAGGTGAGATCCATCTGATATATGTACCCATACATGGAAGATTTATATTGTCTATACTAAACTTGAAACTCTGGCGTTTTCTGTGGCAGTGCGTCAGGATGCACAGATTTTCTGCCTGTATGCAGTCAATCCTTTCTTCATAAACACCATACGTTTGTGAACAACGGGGAAAAAAAAGTGGATATCAATGAATATTTGAATTTCGATTGTTTCCTTGCAGCGCCCTATGCTTGTCTCTTCGGGCACAATAAGATATTTGAAGCATATGCAAAAATTGTTACTTGTGGATATAGATACATTGAAGAGTGATATATTGCTCATACAACATATGAAACTCTGATGTAGCATGGACGTTTGTTTTCGTGGAGCCTCAGGAAACTAGAGTCTTCGTCTGAATTCAGTGTAGTTCTTCCCTGAACATTACATACTTATGAATAACGGGACAAAAAGTGAATACCGATGTATGCTTGAGCTTGAACATTTCACTGCAGTACTCTATGCTTGTTTCTTTGTGTGCACAAAAACATTGAGGAATATCAAAGCCGATACATATGGATACAATTCTAATACAAACCACAGGAACAACTGTAACATATTAATGACCTGGGATAGAGCTGGATACTTTATTACAAGCTCCAAACTTCGATCCCTGCAGTCTCTACAGTACACTAACTATCTGCGTATACATATATATAAACATAGACTATGTCCGCAGGCTTCATAACCATGTTTTAAATATATATATTTATTTATTTTTGATATTTATTGTTGGTGAAGTGGGTATTTACAGAAATAAATTATTTTGATATAAGCTGTTTTATCACGGTCATCAGTGCTTTTTTAGGGGAAGTCTTTTCATATGTTATTGAAAAGGAGGCTACTAGTCGAAGTCATAAAAGGACACCACTGTCCACCATGGTCAAACTACACAAATTTTTTTTAATATCTAAGTCATGCTGCTAATAGCTTTAACACCTCTTTATTTTGTTTTACTTTTAATAGGAGATTTTCAGTAGTTTGTAAGTGGTCGATGTCCCACAACTGTACAATGCTGCAATTTAATTGCATATCAGAAACTATTAGTGAGTGATCTCCTCTCTTTTATTCCATAGCTTGTTTTGAACAGTCATAAATTTCAGAGATTCTTGGAAGACTTGGAAGACTTCCCCCATTCAATGAACAAACTATAAGATAATATCCACATGATACAGATATCTAACCACCTTAAAGCTAATATTCTCATCAGCATCTGGCACCTATTGGAGATGTAATCAACAGCCTGACAGCCACATATTTGATGGAGTTGCAGTAACATTCAACCATTTTGAATACAAATTCTCCTGGCATTTAATATGAGGCATGCAGCAGATGTGAGGGGAAGCCCAGAGATTGTGCTATTATGTATGCTCTTGGGCTCCATTCAGCATACTGAAAAATATATTTTGAGACACTGTCTGCTATCTCCAGATGCTGCAAATCAGCAGACACTCTGTCCCATCTTGGGTCACAATTATGAACAATCCGATGAATATGGATAGCCTAGTGCTGGAGAATATGAAAGAGTGGATTCTTTCTTTTCACATGGACATCCTGGTCATTGTTTCAGACGTCCGACACTTTTAGGCAACTGCTTATTTCTTAGCTCCCTCCTTACCACCTTGGCTGACTGGGTCTGATCCTGAACCTAATGGTGTAACATAACCATATGCTTAGTCCTCTGTTGTTCCTTTCCCTTATTCACCTATCCTTCCCTCCCTTATCCTTGGCTTCTCCTTCCCTACTTACCTGTATTACTATTATGTTCTTTTTTGACAGAATTTTACATTGTTCAGGCACAACCTCCCAGGTACTTGTTGCTGTTTTGTTGCTTTCTTTTTCTCCATGATAAAACGTACAACAATGAGACTAAGAAGGGGCCATTCTTTAGCACAAGAGCAGGTCCAGGATAGTTGAAAGGAGCTGCCATAACCAAGTCCATTGTGCCCTTAAAAATCATCAAAAACCACACTGACTCCAATGCATGCCACCAAAATGGCAACATTTTGACCCAACCTCTTCATTTTTGACAACAATGTAAGGAAATTAAATGAATTAATTGATTTTATTAACCAGTATGTGGCCCAAGGGATCAGAGAGTGGCAGCCTTCACCTGAGGCGCCTGAAACAGATATTCTGCTTTGTGGCAGATTCTATTTTGTGTTGTACACCTTATTTAACCAAACACCATTAAAAAAGAATGTTCTCTATTCTAAAGTAATTTATGCTCTGAATGAAAGGGTCAGCCTTTAGTATCACAAGCTGACCGGTTTCAGTGCTGTATTGAGATGAAGTGCTGTTTTGACATCCCTTTAGGTGAGGAACAGCCTTAGAGAGCATGTCACCAAAAATGAAGGTCCTATTGTAGGGGATGCCTGTAATTTTACTGGCAACTCAGATGTATGAGACAATCACACTAGCAGGAAAAAAAAGATTTCTAGAGGTGTGCTGTACATATAGAAAATACATATACAGGTGAAACTCGAATAATTAGAATATTGTGCAAAAGTAATTGCAGTAAGTGCTGCAAAAGGGGCCCAAACCAAGTACTGAATACATATGCATGCTTGTACTTTTCAGAGGTCTGATATTGTTCTATGTACAATCCTTGTTTTATTGATTGCATGTAATAATCTACTTTTTTGAGGTTGTGGATTTGGGGTTCTTGGGGTTTTCATGAGCTGTAAGCCATAATCATCACAATTATGACAAATCACGGCTTGAACTATCTTGCTTTGCATGTAATGAGTCTATCTCATATATTAGTTTCACCTTTTAAGTTGCATTAGTGAAATAAATGAACTTTGCACGATATTCTAATTATTCGAGTTTCACCTGTATGTCCAGCTTGCCATATTACACAGAAGCCACAAGTGACTTTATTCCCAGTTTTAGAAAGATAATGGTTACAGATTGAAATGGCAATGTAATGGTTTCATAGCATTTAATTACAAAATGCCCTTTGCAGCAATTATATTTATATATAAACAATGTGGCAACATGGCGTTTCCCCTTAACTCTGTTGTTTTAGTGTGCAACGCAGCCTGAAACATGTTATACCTTGAGTAGGAAGAGTGTTTAGATATCATTTATTGAGTTCTTGAATCTGACTATAGAAACTGCCAGAGAAGTTGTCCCAGGAATAAAACCATAGTAGCAATGACACATGGAACATGCCACATTAAAGTAACTCTGTTGTCACCAAAATCAAATAGAAAACAATACTACTTTGATAGGAATGATTCTAATGCTACCTGGATAAGAATACTTACCTATCCACTGGCAAAGCCTCTGATCTTCACTGTCTTGAAGAAATACCGCCTCTGAAGTATCATCTGCATCGGACACTTTTGGGTGTGTTGGGTGGCTGGTCGCCTACGCTTGCTGTGGTTTCATCCACTGCCTCTTTTGTCAAGGGACACAGTAATGGCGTAAGGACCAGTGGAAAGAACCCTTAGCACTCAGTGGGGAACCAGACATCCAGAAGAGTCTGATGCATAAGATTCTTCAGTGGTGGTATCTCTTCAAAAAAGTAAAGATATGAGGCTCTGGCAGCAGGATAGGCAAGTATTAAAGGCCTTCTTTTCCAGGTAGCTTTTTTTCTATTTTATTTTAGTGACAACAGAATCAATTTATCACATCACATTATGTAATGTATATACCTGTTTGCTTTCTCTATCCGTTCTTGGTTTCCTAGAACGGAATGAGTGTTGCTGTTCCTGCTTGACGCTTCTTTAAGCTCGGGACCTCTAAACCGCTCCAAGAAAGAATCTGGCCGCTGATCTTCCTGGGCAAGGTGTCTCATTGCCCAGTTCTGTACTGTGAGAAGAAATCTGGACAACCTATGGAAAGTACTATGATAAATATTTTGCTACCTTTCATGTATAACGGATCTTGTTTTATATATTTTGTTTTAATAAGTAATTTACCAATTACATAAAATAACAATGGCAAGTAACGGAGTAAAGAGACACAAAAGAAAAATGTCCTTTTTAGGTGCATGACATATGGATAAGAATAGAGGAAAACATTTTTCAAATTAATCAACAAAAGGATATGTTTATAGTACATATAAAGTATATATTTTCCAAGAAAACTGTGGAAATGGAAGAGATTAATAAACATTTTACATGAAAAACATGTATAAGGACCAGGGCTGATTTTACATAATGTGATGCCCTGAAAAGAGTTCAAGGATGGGGCGGTTATTGTCATAAAAAAATACATTAAATAATTCAATTCCAAATCTGCATTTAAAGTGAAACTGAAGTAAAGAAGTAAAGATTAGCTATGTTATAGGGAGAATCCAGAAGTGTTAATTGCACCTACGCAGTACCCAGAAGGATTTATTTTTTGGTCCAGAATGCCTGCATGTGAGGGTTCCTAGGCACTCCTAGACATGAAGCCTAACAGCTGTATATCTGTAGTGTGAGATCTAAGGAATTGCTGTCTCTGACTGACAGTTTTTAGAGATTTCCAATTTCCCATCTAGCAGGAAATGAAGGTTTTACTAAATTGTAGACATGCAAGTTTTGTTTAGTTCCGAATGGATAGTCATCCAAATTTCGTTAAATTCGGACATTTGGATGCATCCTAATTTCCAAATTTGAATGCAAATAAATCCGAATGTTCCTTTAACGAAAATTAGGATCTGTCCGAATTTTATTCAAAACGAAACTAAATCGGACATGTGATTGTTCTCTGGCCAATCAGATGGGTTTTTTTGGTTGTGGCAATACAGGCACGATCATGTGCCTTCCTTGTGGATCTTTCTGTAACAAAAATTCGGACAGATACGAAATCTGAATAATGAACCGAATCAAATTTGAAAGAAATAGAAATCCGAATCAATCCAAAATGAAGTGAAACAACTTTTTTTGTGGGGATGCATGTCTACTCAATTAATATTTAGTAAAACACACACTGTCGGCCTCATTATATAGGGTAAAAAGTAACGAGAATGTGGAAAACACAGTTATCCAGTAAAACGAATTAAATTATTACATTTAGTTCAGTTAAACAGTCACTGCTGATTGGTTGCCATAAGTTAATGAACTTCAAAAATCTCGCCACCTTGCCTTTTATTACTAAACAAGCCTATAAATGCTTAAACTATAGCGCAAAACAAGCTACAGTACATCTTCACCACATGTTATATTTATCAGCATGGATCACTTGACCACTTTATTATTTGGTTACCTGGCCATTCCTCCTCTTCCTGCAAATGAACTCCTGCGGGATTCCGTAAGGCCTCTTGGATCCAATGCAATAACACGCTGTAGTTCAGATGATGTGTCTTCACAGATTGAATGAGCCCTGCAGTATCACCAAGAAAGCCACAACACAAATCATGTTATTTAATTGTTATCCTACAAAGCGCCATCCAAAATCTTGGACTCTTTTACACATTTAGATTAGATAGTATGGCTCACCTGAAGGGAGAGAAAATATGAAAACATGAAATGCTCATTTATATCTAGGGGAGCTGTGTAAAGGACTGTTACTTACCTGATCCCCACTCCCGCAAGCTCCAAGACTGGCTTCCACAGTCTCTTCCCCGCAGCGCTCCAGAGGTTGGAGACTCACTGATAACATCATGTACAATGCAGGGTATATAGCTCTGCATTGTACGTAAGGGCAGTGAGAGGTAGTCCACAAGCTGTAGTGTAAAGTAGGGATGGGCTGCATGTTCGAGTCGAACATAGCCTGTTCTAGCGTTCGCTTAACGCCGCACATTACGGGATGTCCGCGGTCTGCTCGACCGCGGAACATCCTACAATGCACTGCGCCGTCCAAAACGGTAATTGGCTACAGTCTTGCACCTGACCGCAGGTAAGGTGCAAGACTGTGCCAATCTAAGTTCGAATTAGAACTTTTTCCATGTTCGAAAGTTCGAATTAGAACCGAACACGGGGGTGTTCGGCTCATCCCTAGTGTAAAGGAGACGCCGCCTGCCAGGGGATCAGGGATCCGGTAAGTAAAAGTCCTTTACACAGCTATCCTAGACATTTACGAGCAGATAACGCTCACAGTGTGGTGGAAGCCCCACTGCAAGGGTTGTTGTTTTCCCCAGAGATAGGCTTTAAAGAAGAACTCCAGGTATGCAAGAAGTTAATCTTTGCATTGTGGCTATCCCCACACTGCAAGGGTTAACTGCTTGGTTTTCTCTAGGGACCAAAATAAAGAAGATATGCTCACCTGATCCTCAGTCCCATGGCGGTTGACACTCACTTCTGTTCCCCTCCGCTCCAGCTGTGATATGTCTCTCGGCATCCTCATGTCTAATGCAAGTGTATGGTTGATATTAGATGTGATGACATCATAAGGGCTTAGCCCGCCGCAGCCCGGGGCAAAAAGGCTGTGGGGACTAGTCTGGAAGGCAGACGGGATTAAGGATCAAGTGAGTATAATTCTTTAATTTGAGCCCCTGGAAGGAAACGAACAGTTAACCCTTGTAGCCCCACTGCCAGGGTTAACTTTTTACAGGCTAGGTTCAGATCTTTTAAGGCTAGGTTCAGATCTGAGCAATTGTGCACAATTGCACACAGCTTTTGCCACGTGGTCCCAATGATTTAAATGGGGTTACATAAGCGCAGCAATCGCTAAAAAAAAGGTACTAGTACCTTTTTTGCAATACATGACGCACAGCTTTTTTTTAGCCGTGATCGTGCTCAATTGCACGGGCGGTATCGTGGCAAAAAACTGCGCAATCTGCCCGGTGCAAATGGGGTGCAAGCGTGATCGGCAGCGGTGGAAGCGATTCCGTGACCGTGCGGATGCAGGATTGCCGCGCAGTCACGGATCGCCCAGGTGTGAACCTAGCCTAAGTGTAAACTGTGTTATTTAGATACAGTAATGGGGTGAACTATATATGAATATATACAAGTCTAATTATGCATACAGTGATAAGCACGGCAGGCATTTTAGAATTTGCTTAAATTACCTTTTAAGTTGACTGCTGAATAAGTGTACACAAACCCATAAGGACAAACTGTTAATAAGCATTATGTTAATAAGCTACTTCCTTTTTTCAAATTTCTGAGGCCATCAAAAGCTATGTCTTTATTGTTATTCTCCCTCTCTAGTTCAGGCTGTAGACTGACCTAAACGTTTGCTTTTACCATGCCTAACCCACAGCACACATTGCAACTGCTAGCGTACTGACACCAGTGAGGGCTCCTCTGTATACAGTAGAAAAGAGGTCTCAGTTATATGACTAGGGGAGTTTAGTGTCACTTGAAATAAACTTACAAAAGACAAAAAATAAACATGTTAAAGAAAATTGAGGAAGATTAGAATGGTGTATGGTAAATTAGATTATTTTGGACATGTGGAACAGCTCCATGTTTATATTCGAAAATAATTAATAATTTCAGGACCTTGGGCAGAGCCAGGCAAGCCATTTCTTTACACCCCAATGGCCAGATGCACATCCAGAACTGCTGAGGTATAGTGCAAATATAGTCTAATATCACAGAGCCATTTATTACAAATGGTATAAAACTGTGTATGGCTTCTCACTATCATCAGTGCAGAATATAGAGTAAGGCTTTGGACCCAACAAGATAGTATATAAAGGTTATGGTGAGAAGGGACTAAAGCAATCAAAAAGCCTTCTGACCAAATTAGAATGTAGCGCATTAAATATTTCTTAAAACAGAATATATTCACATATCGCACTCCATAACATATCCAAAAAATAAGAGGATTTTTCCTCATTTCAGGACAGCGGTCAGAGACATGCAAATGACTACTTTACTCTCCATCAGACAGATGCACATCCAGAACCACATCCAGAACCACTGGTGTATAGTGCAAATATTAGCTAATATTATACAGTCATTTATTCTAAACTACATACAATTGTTTTAGGCTTATTGGCCATTATCAGTGCAGTATATGGAAACCATGGCTCCTATGGAATACGGTTTTGGACCCAAAGTGACAGATCATACAGGGTATGAGGAGAAGGGACTAAAGCAATCAAAAAATATACAGTATAAAGAGAAACTAAATATACATTGATATAGAATTGCTCTGCAAAAAAATACCTATTCCGTATAACATAATTTTTCCACCAGTTAAGCATTGTCTGTGCATATGGACTGTTTAGCACCACAACTCTCTGGGGTGTATTTAATTGTGCTTAAAGGAAATATTATTTGCGCACTGCCAATGTCACAGTATCATACTAAGCTGGTTACTTAATCCCTCAATATTTAATTAATAGCATTTAGAAATCTGAATTATACAACACTGGTATAATAAACATCAAATTATAATATTCAAATATTTAACAATGCTTATGTCGATATTTTATTCATGATTCTTATTTTTCTTTGGTTGGGAAGAATCATTGACAAGGCTGAAGCAGCCGTGTGATGTGAAGGGGGGCTGTAGGTGGCAGTGTTATGTAAGAAGATGCAGCAGTAGGGATCGTGTGCCAAGTAACAGGAGTGATCTGGGAGAATGGATGTGATTAGTTAACAGTGCTGTGGTTGCTAGCATCCTCTCTATGACTCTGATTGGAAAATAAATGAGTTTTCACACATTGCCACCTTTAATGAAAGCAGTCACACTACAGTGTCTGTGCTGGATAACTCTTGCCTTGTGTACCTTTCAATGTGAATTGCAGTTTTACTGAGCTTTTAAAGCATCCGTTATATAACCACCTTCTTCAGACAAAGAAACTGGAAAGAGATTTGAGCTGCAAATCCTGGCAATGAGCTTTAAGCAGTACACCCCCTAATGAAAGGGGTTTAAGTTTCTAGCTATAGGTTGTAGGCCTATTCCATTAATCAGTGGTCCAGTGCTTGCTCCATACAAGAGAATCTTCCCAATATAGTGCATATATATCCTGTGTAGTGAGAAACCTTATATTCACCGCTATTCAAAGCCGCACTAACCACAACAGATGGACTGGTCAAAGTACGCTCATTACAAGTGATCCCCTCCGATCCGTGGTCGATACTTCTCAGGGCTCCACTCGATCTACAGACATCTTCACCTCTTCCTCCTTACTTTCCACAATTCCTCATGCACTTTTTTATATTATGGTCCTATGATCAATCAGTATTACACATGGAATGTCCTCTATAGACTGCGACTCCGCAGACTCCTGCTGTCTATATAGTTACATTTTATTTTGAAGTATGAAATGTTATGAAAAATTGGCAAGCGGCTCCCATGGGAGAAGAAAATGTGTCCAGTGACCCCAAGTGAATTGAGTTTGAGACCTTTGCTCTAAACCTTTATAGTTTTTAATGATACAATGTGGAGATAATGCTAGACCTTTCTGCTTCTACTTACTGCTCATAATCTAAGGCTGATACCACACTGGCAATTTGTAGCATCTCTGCTTTTTCTTCCAGCTTTGGTGGTCAGAACCTAAGGGTGATATCACACAAGCAATAATAGCATCCACAGGCGTGCGCACGAGGTGTGTCGGGTGTGCCTGGGCAAACCCTAATCACCCCCAGCTGGATTAACATTTATTATATGAATGGGTTGTGTTATTAACATATGAATAACCTGTGATTCATTAATATGTAAATAGCACTTTTAGTTCATATGTAAATTATGCCCGATTCCCCCCATTGTAGAAGGTAGTTCAGTTCGGAGTTGTAGCAGTGTCTCAGTGCGGGAAAGGTATTTCAGCTTTTCTTCTTCTTGTATCTGCTCTTTATCTGTCAGTGTATGTGGCTTTCAGCCTCTATGTATCTCTATGCATATCCTATAGCTGCCTTTTTGCAGCCCTCTAACAGTTTATTTCACTTTGAATGAGACTCCTGGCTGCTTTGTAACTCCTTACACAGTTTTGCAGCTAAAATCTCTGGAAAGGACCCCGTTTTAGATGTAAAATATTGTAAGCTGAGATTTGTTTTATATTTACTTTCAAGAGCCATTGCAGGGAATTGTGAAAGAAATCACTGTCATCCAGAAAATATTGCATCTATGCTAATTCAGAGTTTGATATAACTCCGGTGCACTGATCACACTGAGCTCTGCTCCAGATGACCTCAGCCAGCAGCAGCTCCTGATAGTTGCAGCACTGAACTTGAGTTGAAAAATGCAGTGCTGGGCTCCCCAAGCAAGGGACTAGACTTTTGACTGTGTCATCAGTGAAGGTGAGACAGCAGCCAGGCTTCACTCTGATCATGCTTTTCTCCTATTTGTGTCTCCAGCAGATGATGGGGAAGGTAGTCATCCTGTGTGTGTAAAAATGCGGGTTAAGTCCAGTTCGTTTAGGGCGTTCATGCCCAACACCACGGGAATCTCTGGGAAGGAGGCATTCCGGGTCACCACACCATAACCAG